GTGCATAGAAAATTTTCCCTATTTTTCAGTAATTTTTATAACTCTGCTATGGCAAGTTAATAATGATGAAGAAGATGAGCCTTGGACTCAGAGAGGCCAGGTTGAGTCCCTGCTTTCCTAGTTAGTGTTAGACTGTACTACAGGCAAGTTTTCACCTGTTCTCTCCAGGTGTTCTCTCTTAGCTTTCTATTCTGTAAAACAAGTAAAACAGTAACAGCTCATATAACGTTGTAATGAGGACTGAAAGAGATAGTGCATACAAAACGCTTAGCTCAGAAGCTCACATATGATAACCTAACGTTAGGAGACAGCATAACATAACAGTTAATAGCATGGTTTCTGGAGTTACAATTATTTAGTTCATCCTGCTTCCAACACTAACTGTTTAACCTTAGGCAACTTGTTTAATCAGTCTAGGCTTTAGTTACCTCATCTATAAAATGAAGTTACCAACAGTGTGCCTGAGGTTGCACAATTCTTGAATGGCTAAAGTGGAAGTTAAACTTACATACATTGTGAGCTAGCTGGTGTAGGTATCATGAGTTTTTATGTTCTTGTACAGTCTTCAACATGCTGGACAATTTTCTTTCTAAAACCATGATCTTTTCATATTCTGGTCGCTTCACTCTGCTCTACTTGTCTCTTAGCACAACCACATGGTTATTCTACTCTGTCATAGGAAATGGTCAACACCTGGCCATCTGCCACCCAATGTACTACCCCATCCTCATGACAAGATCTGTGGTAGGCTGACGGGTCTCTCTTGGCTCACTGATTTCCTCAAACACTCAATCCCTATTTTCTTTATAAGTATATAGTGTTGTAGGTTGTGTTCCCTGGAAACAGATGCCAAGATTTCATGCAGAAGTTTTGTTGTAGAGTTCTTTTGGGAACAATAGCTGTACAAGAGTGAGGAAAGTAGGCTGCAGCAGAAGGAGAAGTTGAACTGTGATAAAGTTGAAACAAAAGTCTCAGCTGATGCCATGTGGAACTGTGGAGCTAGGATGACTATTCAGAGTTGTGACTGATTGAGGCAAGAGTGTCAGGATTTTGTACACCAGCATTGACCAATCTCTGAAAGTGGGCTGACCCTGGGTAGGGGAGGTGATCAAGGAAAAGGCTGGTGTCTTTGGCTTAAGGTAATTTCTGGCTAGGGATTTGGTTGTGAGTCAGTCACCAGTATGCCAGACCTCTGGCAGCTGAGGGAATGAATGTATCAGTCTTGAAGGCAAGATCCAGACAGCACATTACAGCATCTACTACACATGGGCCCACTGATTGGCCTGTCCTATAGCTACGCCACATCACAGAACATGTACTATGTGTACTATGTGTTCTATACCTTTGCCACATCATAGATCATGTACTTCGTATTCATCATCATTCTCACTATTTTCCATGTCCTTGGACCGTATACCTTGGTGCTAAGAGCTATGCTTCAGGCTTTCAGCAGCTGGTCATCAAAATGCCATCTCTAAATGTGGGTCTCACTTTGTGGTAGTGTCTTTGTTCTGTGAAACCCCAATGGTAATGTATATGAATCCCACATCTGGCCATTTAGTAGAAATGAAGGCAATGAATCACATCGTTATAATGATATCTTCTTTGAAGACTCTGGTCTTAAACTTCCTCAGTGACAGCCTGCTCAATAAGGACATGAAACCTGTTCTCAGTCATGTCTTTTATGGAATGAATGTTAGCCACAGTTCATGAATAGTTCTTCCTATTGAAGGACCCTATTGAAGAACCCTGGTTTTATTAATTATACATCTCTGCCCTACTATGAAAAATGAAAATATTTGATATATGTAATCTTACTTTGGGTAGAGTTGCATGTTATAAGGCGAAATGAAATAGCACTATATAGAGAAGTCTATGTTATATGATTTGATTTTTGTAAAATAAAGAATGAAAAAACCCTGATATATGGTTATAAATACTTTTATATAGTTAGGAGTATGGAGAATAGTATGAACATATGTACTACGTTGTTAATATTGTTTATCTAGTAGGGATGGGGTGTGATGGAGTGAAGAGTAGATTGAGGGTGAAGTGGTGGTGGTGCCGAGTAGTGAGGAAAAGATAAAGGAGTCTACTGTCAAACCAGCATGTACATTATCCCATTCATATAAAATTGACATATGTGAGTGTGTGTGTATGTGTATAAAAGAATACATGAAAGATTGTTCACTAAAATATTAATGCTGGTTACCTCAGAGTGGTGGGATTTTAGATAACTTTTTAAATAGTTTTATACTTTTCTATATTGTTTGAGAATTATTACAGTGAGAATTTATTATTTTTATATTGAGAAAAGATCAAGGTTTTTTTTTATTGTGGAAGAAAACAATTGCATTAAATAAATCTTTCTTGAATAGAAATAAATGTCGGTGTATTCCTTGGAGTTAAAAAGAAAGCTAAATCTGATTTCATAAAAGCAGGTCAAATACAAAGTATATTCCAGCTAATGTGTTTCTGGCTCAAAACATAAGTTCTGAGGGTAGTATTTTAAAATCAGTATGATATTTGTACTTTGATATCCTTTAAAGATTGATTTTTCAAAAAATTATTTTATTGAGGTCATATTGGCTTATGACTGTGTAAATTTCAGGTATACATTATTATATATCAGTTTATATATAGAGAGCATCATATTTACCACCAATAGTCTAGTTTTTATTCATCACCATACATATATGTCCCTTTACCCCTTTCACCCTCCCTCCACCTCCTTCCCCTCTGGTAACCACTAATTTGTTCCCTTTATCTACGTTTTTGTTTATTGAAGATTTATTTTTATATTTTAAAACCCAAATGACATATTTATTTTTTAAATTGAATGAATCTGACATGTAGCATTGTGTAAGTTTGAGTTGTACAAAGCGTTACTTTGATACATTTATATATTGTAATATAATTGATATTGTAGTGATATTTATCACGTAACATAATTGTAGTACAATATTATTGTCTATATTCATTATACTGTGTTTTAGATCTGTATAGCTTATTTACTACTCATTACAAGCTTGTATGCTTAAATATCATTAATCTTATCCCTTGCCCCCTGTCCCTTGGTAACCACCATTTTACTCTCTGTTTTTTACAGGTTTAACTTTTTTGGATTCCACACATAAGTGATGTCATACCATACTTGTCTTTTTCTGTCTAACTTATCTCACTTAGAATAATATGCCCAAGGTCCATCCATGTTGTCACAAATGGGAGGGTATCTTCCTTTCTCATGGCTGAATAATATTCCATTGTGTATATGTACACATCTTTTTTCTCCATTCATTTGTTGATGGCCATTTTGGTTGTTTCCACATCTTGGCTATTGTAAATAATGCTGTGATAAACATGGGAGTTCATATATGTATCTTGTTGAAATCTTGTTTTCCCAAATGATATATTTCTTTACTGCTTTCCATTTCTTTTTACAGCTCTCTAGCTATATCTATTATTGTTTGTTGAATTGTGAATTATATTACCTCTTGGAGCCATATTTATTTTGATCAAGGAAGCTCATTAATATATCAACGTGTGGCCAATTATAAATTATGATGGGTAATAAATGCCCCATGGACACCTGTTCTAGAAACGCTTCTTTTCTGTGTGTTGTGGTATACTTGTAAATAGACGGTGATCTGTAAATGGTTACATGCACTGTTCAGAACTTACCATGCTTTCTCATCCCTTAATACTCCTGGCTTTTATCTTTGCTGTTCTTTCACTTGCTCCCATAGAAACTTGCAATTCCCTTGGTTATAACACACCTTGCTCCATTTAACACTTGTTTATGAGCCCCACAAGAGGGAAATGTGTCTTATTCACTTCTGTATATGGTTTACCTTCTAGATCAGTGCCTAGCATATTGAATGTGTTTAATTGTTTTAATAATTAAGTGACCATGGAGGAAGATGATACAGCAATTAACAATTATATAAAAAATACTTTCAATTTTTCACGGTATATTTATTCTCTTAGTTCCTCAGAAGAGGAAGACACTTCTTATTTTGTTCTAACAGATACAAATAATTTTAGTGAGATGACGTCAAGAGGTTGTCAGAATTCTTCTTTTTCATTTTCCATCAACAATCAGTCCTCTTCCTAGTTTCCAAAAGAATCAAAGAATTATGAAGAAATGTTTCTCTGGTTCTAACTTCATAGTGAAATAGTTATTAAAATTTATTTATTAATGTTAGCATTAAATGTTGTTTCAATGCAATACATACATATAGCACAAAATTTTAAAAATACAAAGGCATATAGAGTGAAAATGTCTCCTCTCCCTGTCCCCAGACACCCAATTCTCCTTTTCAAAAGCAATAACTGTTACTAGTTTCTTCTTTCTCCTTCAAGAAGCATAGAATGTAATAATGAACATAAATATATGCATATCTATATGATCTTTTTTCACATTAAAGATAGCCCAAGATACAGATCTCTTTCATCTTGCCTTTCATTTAATGATATATTTCGAGGATAGTTTTAGATCCATAGACAGGTACAGATCTTCATTTTTAACAGATATATACTATATCTATTCTATGGATGTACAATAATTTATCTAATCAGTCCTTAATGAATGGTAATTTAAGTTATTCCGATGTTTTACTAGTAGGAACAGTAGTTGTATTCTTGTACATATGCCATTTTTTTGTGTGTAAGTATAGTAGTCAGATAAATATCTAGGAGTGGAATTGCTGAGTCAAAGTGAATGCCCTTTAAATTTTGATAGTTTTTGGCAAACTGTCCTCCATAGATATAGTACCAATTTATGCTCTACTAGCAAAGGATGCGATCGCTTTTTTCCCCAACATCATTTTTGATCTTTGTCAATTTAGGGGCAAAATAAGTACATTTAATACATTTTTCTTTGTATTTATCTAATTCTGAATAAAATAGAATGTCTTTTCAGATATTTAAAAGCCTTTCCTATTTACTTTTTTCATATGTTTGCTAATGCTATTTTTCTTATTGATCTGAAGATATTTATATACATATCCCTCTCAAATATATTAATCTTTTTGTCTATAATTGATGCTACCATGACAGATGTTTTGGAGGACAAAGCTCAACTAGAAGAGCAAAGACAATTTGTTGCTGTTGAAGAGTAAAAGAAAACTTTAAGTTTTTCCCTACGGTTATAACTTCGTGTAATTTGTAAGGGCAACTACAAATAGAGAGATTTTCTGAGTTGGCAGGAGATTTGTTTTTAATTATATTTCACGAACAAACTCAACTCAGTTTTTCAATCTATAGCTCTATGATTTGTAAAATTAGGGAGATGCATCTTTTTGAGATCCTGTATAACCCTATAAGTTCTATGAGATAAAAAAAATCACTATGGTGTGTAAAGTTCAAAAAAATATGAACAATTTTCTAAATGATGTCAGTTTCCTTTTTAGCCATGAAATTAAAAACAGATTCTGCCCCCTAAAATCTTTTAAACCAAGACTCTTACTTTTATGTTCTCAATAATTTCTTCATAGAATGTTTCATATCTTTGTTCCTCAGACTGTATATCACAGGGTTAAGGAGTGGAGTAACTACAGAATAAAACAGAGTCACTATCTTCTGCATTCCAGCTTCATGCTCAGATGTCGGGCTCACATACATGACCATCACTGAGCCATAAAAAAGAGAAACCACAGCCAGATGAGACCCACAGGTGGAGAAAGCCTTTCTTCTCCCAGCTGCTGAAGGGACCCTCAACACAGCTGTCAGGACCAGAGCATAGGACACCATGATGAAGAGAAAGGGAACAAATAAGAGCAGAGAACTTAAGATGGAGCTAGTTAACTCTATTGCAGCGGCTCTGGTACAGGTGAGGGCCAACAGAGGACCTGGATCACACAGGAAGTGGTCAATGATCCTGGATCCACAGAAAGATATTTGGGAAATAACAATGATAGGAATCAGAAACCAGAGAAAATCAAGTATCCAGCAGCTGACCACGAGATTGGTGCAGAGACATCTAGTCATAAGAATGGGGTAATGGAGAGGCCAGCAGATGGCAAGGTATCGATCAAATGCCATAATAGCCAAGAAAAAGCATTCTGTAGAACCCAAGGAGAAGAAAAAGTAGAACTGGAGAAAGCACCCCGAGAAGGAGATCACCTTGGTGTCAGAGAGGAAGTTGGCCAACATGTTGGGGACAGTGGAGGTGACGTAGCAGATCTCCAGGAAGGAGAAGTTGGCGAGCAGGATGTACATGGGGGTGTGGAGTCTCTGATCCCAGCGCACAGCACAGATGATGGAACCATTGCCCATGAGGGTCAGGAGGTAGACAACAGAGAAGAGCACAAAGAGGAGGATCTGCCCCTCCCTGGGGCAAGGGAAGCCCAGGAGGATGAAGCCAGTGATGGTGCTGGAATTATTGGGAGTGTTGGAGATTTTCATGGATCTATGAGCTGTAAAAACACCATCAAATTATTGAACGACTATGTGAAGACAGATGGGAACCCTGATATGTATTGAAGCCAACCTGGGGAATGCAATAAACACTTATATATCAATAGTTACTATTTTTGTCTGATCCTACAATGCTGTCCTGGGTTAGTTGTTGGACTGTAAAAACACTAGAAGTTAGTGAATATCAGTGGATAGGCAGAGACATTCCTTTGTTGAGAAATGTATGGAAAAATGCTTAATATAGAACATACAGCTTATGAAATCATTATAAATAAAACTCCACTGTAACTCCCACTGAAGTCAAGAAATACAATATCACTTGCATCCTAGAACTTTCCCTCATGCTCCATCCCAATCACTATCCTCTACCTCTCTCTGACCCTCCAGTTTTAACATTCTCCTTTTCTTGTGGTAATCAACTCTTATTTTCTTTATTTTAATAACAAAGTATGCATTCCTAAAAAAAGTATTTAGTTTTGTTTTTGTGCTTTATATAAATGAAATCATGTTATATGTAGTACTTTTGGATGGCTTCTTTTGTTCAATAGTAAGTTTGTGAAATTCATGTTGTTGCATGGATCTGTAGCTTGTCCATTTTTACTGCACTCTATGCTATTACATTCTATGAATAAACCAGTACTTTTTTAAGTATTCTACTATAGATGAGTATCTTGGTTATTTCTGGTTTGGGGCAATCAGGAGTAATGCTACTATGAACGTATTGTTTATTTATCTTGGTTCACACGTGCGTGAGTATCTGTAGGCTGGATCATAGGGTGTGTGTATCTTCAACTTCAGTAGATTAAGCTAAACAGTGTTCCATGACTATTGCACTATTTTTTATTCCCACTGATGATATATGAGAGCTCTGATTGACAGCATTCTTTTTTAATGTTAAGGTCTTTATTTGTCAGAGCCTGGGGAATGATATGTAGACTGCGTTTTACCAGCAGCTCTTTTTATTTTTTTCCTTCTGGTAATATCAAACTAGGCAGTGTTCTCCTTGGCAGTACTTTTTTTCAGAGTAGGTGGTTATATCAGAACTACTCTGCTCTCAAGAGAGAGTATTCTGGAAATGAAAAAGAAAACTGTCCCCAAATTTAGTTTAGGAGAACATTTTAATGCATGAAGTAATTTACAGCCACTTCTGTGAAGTTCATTATGCATGTTATATGAGCTTTGAGTCATGATCAGCCTTGTGATTTAAACAAGATGTTTCTTCACTGTATTTCCTACTTTCCTATATGACTCTCCCAAGAGAGAATTCTTTGAAGTGGCTCACTCAGGAGCATCTTCCTGAGCAAGAAGTTTCAAACAGAACTTCATCATAGACTTGAAAACAATTTATCTCAGTTACTTTACCAGAAGTGATTGGGAATTAGCATAATGCTTTGTAATTCCATAGATTTTAATAAATATTTATAAAATGAATGAATAAATACACTTTTTCAGTTACCAGAAGGAGAGCACATCAACAGAGCCACTTGTGGGCAAAGCTGACTTAGATTGTGTGGCTCTGGAAGAAGAGACACTTGGGAAAACCAGAATCACTTTTCTCTTTTGAGGTGGTTAACTCCTTTGTGGATTCTGTTTGGTAATGCAATCTACCAATGTGAGGAGTAAAACATTCAAATTAATTGCAGGAAATAGCTGCAGCTCACTTCTGTTAATACAGTTCCCCAGCCATCCATGGCAGATCCAGCCTAGGGATAGGATCAGCATTAATCTGCTCTTGTTGAAACAAGTCCTTGATTGTCTGTGTTGGGAATATGACTCTGCAAAATCCATTGTTTCCTTTCCAGTTATATAAACTCTGCAACCTGATATTATTGATCTTATGTTAAGGTAGATGTAGCTGGAAAGTTGAAAAGCAGGGAAAACTTTAAAATTTTGCTCCCTCTCCCAGTAACTCCTTGGGAGCATCTCAAGGCAGAATGACTTTGGACGGTTATATATTTGCATAATGGCTTTATGTTTTTCTGGGTTGAAAAAAACAGACAGAAATCTTTGTTAAATGATCCTGCACTCAGATCTTGTACTTGGTTATTGTGGGCTCTGTAAATAAGGTATGCATAAGGAACACAAAAAAATATGTATTTTCCATTATCTGGAATACAGCATCAATCAATCAAGCAATGATCTTATTTTTGAGAGTTGGCATAATTATCCAAGGAGTCTGACAATGTTCCATTTGGAATATTCAAATGTTCTATTTGGAATATTCAAATATTCTATTTGGAATATTCAAAAACAGTAAGACATCCATGGATAAAAGGCAGAAGGTGTCAGGGAAAAGGTGGTTGATTACAATATATTTTTGTTTTGTTTTTGGAGAGGAAGAAAGTTTGTGATGGGGGACTAGCAAACTGATTAATATTTTGGAGCTTATAAAATGTGTATGAAAGCTTCCCTCTCTGAGATAGATCTAGTTCTGGATTTTATCTGATTTTCATGACCTGGGGGACTCATGTGGTCAAGAAAATTTCCCAAGATCCTGATAGTTTATGTCTTAACTTATATTACCTCTGGTCTTTTAGTGCCTCAGCTGTGGAAGGTATAGATTCTTGTTCTTGTACCATAAACTTATGAATACCCTTTCCTCTCTGATTTTAAGGATGTGTGACTAAGGACTGAGACTAAATTTCAGATACTATATAGTCATCATTTGTAGGTAAACTTAAACCAGACATTAAATATCTAATATATGTTTGCATTACTTTACATGCACTGTTCTCATTCAGGATGAAAATATTCAGAATGTGGTCGTTTCTGAAGCCATCACTTTTCCAAATGCCCTGTTCTTTGAAAGGGGCTGTTAACAAATGTTGGAGCCATGAGAATACATTAACTGCTGGTGAATGGAAGGAGTGACTCAAAAGAAAATTTGCTATGACATGTAAAGGTCGCTTTTGGACTTTAAATTCCATGAAGTTAAAAAACGTCCTTTATAGGCCTACAGGTGTAATACCAACTTAGAAAAAAGTCGCTGAGTTTTCAATAGGTCAAAATAATTTGTTACTAATTGTGGTTGGGGCATTTTTAATTAAAGTGTTTTGCAGGATATTTCTGAAAGGTTATTTTTTGTGATAATCACTTTGTTCATTTTCTCAAAATATTTTCTGCGCTTTGAATGACTTAGTTAATGTTCAAGAACTTACTTTTCCTGGTCTAGTCTATTTTAATGTTACATGTCTTCTTTTCTTTTATGCCTCACATCCAATTCATTAGCAAGATGCTTCTGTTTCTGAAATACAGCTCATATCTTTCCTTTGTCTTCCCTCTCATCTCCCAAGTTCAAATTTTCATACTTTCTTCCTTGGACTTCTGCAGCACCATCCTAACAGAGCTCCTCACTTCTACTTTTGTAACTAAACCCTCCATTTTCCAAGTAGCTGCAGAGCACTCTTTAAAAATGGAAAAACCTACCATTATAGATTTCTGAACAAAACCGTTCACTCTCAGAGCAATTCTGTCTGGAAGTTTCACAAAGCTGTTGTAGAAAACAGGAAGGTGTTCTAGATAACAGAAATGACCACCACAATTTTATGCTTAATCTAATATATTTAACCAGACTGTACTGTCACTCACCTTTTATTACTTAGCTCCTCTGTACGGAAGAAACTATGAAGTTTATCTCCACAAGTCTGAGCTGGAGCTGTCAAAAAAAAAAAAAAAAAGAGAGAGAGAGAAAAGAAAAGAAAGGCTGCTGGATTCACCCTGCATCGGCTGCAGAGGGCGCTGTGAACATTGGTATAACGATTTCTGTGTTTGTGTACCCAGGCTGCTTGGACCGAGTTAATTGACAACAATCAACTTTTTTTGGTTTACCTGTTAAATTAATCAACCCTGGAGAGGCTGAGATAGACTATGGCTGAGGGAACCAGGCTGTGCCATACACAGTGTGAGGAAGACATTCCCTGATATTTTAATTTTCCCTCAAAGCTCAGTACAGTAGAAGTTTGGTACCTCCATTTGTTGGCCCTCTGTCCACAGCCAGTCCAGAGACGTCTCGTGACAACCCAGTTCCCTGATTTACAAACATTGTATAGTTTCAGCGAGGGGCTGCCACATCTGTCACATTGGGTAATCTGTTCCTGGAAAGTACTTAAAAGTAAGGATAATTTTCCAGATTGGGATGAGTGGTAGGCAGCTGTGTATACCAGAAAAGCATTGGATTTAGAGTCAAAAGCTTCTTTTACTAGTTATAGGAAATTAATTCTCAATTTCCCTAGCTATTAAATGGGCATAATTATGCCTTCTTTAAAGGGCTATTATAAAGATTACTGAATGAGACAAATTTCTGTAAATACCTCGACCATTGCCTCACCAGTAAGAGCTTAAGAGATATTAGTTGTATGTGTATGGCTATAGCAACTTCGAAGAGAGCTGTGAGTAAAAGCTGGCAGATTATGATTCTTTACTCTTCTAAACAGTATATAATCTTAATACCTGCATCAGCAAAGGAATTCCAAACTGAAGCTTCTCAAAAGTTTATTTTTTTTATTTTCTTAGAGAAGAGACATAGTCTTGGCGATAACCAGAGAGAAGAAAAGAGGTGCAAATGGTTGTGATGAGGATCTTTGTATTTGCTGAGAGATGGAGGGGTTATAAACAGAGCCTGCCGTGGAGTAAGCCCTGTTTTTTCCTGATCCTGAGGATCTGTTTACTGCTTCTAACAGGAAAACAGTGTCAAGAGACATCTATTTATATGCTTGTTATTCACTTCCCTCGGGACCTGCCTTAATTTCTGTTGGCTTTTTTTTCTGTGCTAGTTGAAATAATATCTTTTCTTTGCTTTAAAACTCTCTCAGGTATAATGAAATCTTAACAAATCAATTGATTGTTTGATTAATTAATCAACCAATAAGTCTGTCTCTTGCTCCCCTAAGTGTGCCTACCACGTGGCCAATGAAAAATCTTACAAGCCTGAAGGGGATAAAAGCAGCCCCAGATGGCCATAACTGATCTGACATTCACAACCAGACCTCAGTTATTGCAAGCTGACCTGACACTCTCAGCTATACCGTGCTATTCTGTTATTGGACATAAACCATCCAACAAAATACAACTTCAGTCAAGGTTACTAAGAGACCATGATAAAACAGGACAAAACAAGGCTACTTCATAATTTTGTCTAAGCACAGAAAAAACAAAGTCACTGTGCCACCCATACAATATCAAATATTTTCCTGTCTTGGCTAAAATGAATGACTTCTACTTTTTAAAAAAAAGCCAATTACAGCTTTACTCTCCTTTTTTGTCTGTCCTCTCTATAGATAGATTTGTTGAAATACCTACTCATAGAATTGTCCTTGCTTTGACAACATCCAATTTGGAGCAAATCATCTTCTCAGATTCTCTCCAAGATCACTCAACCAAAGCACCAGTCCTATAATAGGTTCCTTGTAACACTGTCTTACTGAGACATCCCAAGGTTCTCTCCTGGTGTATGTTGTCCCCTGCTATAATGAGTAACAAACCCAACTCATTCGTCTATAGGTATTCCTGTGGTCTTTGGCCAAAGGGCATCAACAAAACTAACATATAATAAGTTGGCTGTGAAACGGGAAGTTTCTCCATGAGACATTATGTGGACATCTTTAAGAAGACAGCTGCATCTAAGGACACTTTCCTGGTCCAAGGATGTTCTTGGCTAAGGTTAGTCAGAGCAGGGTCATTCTGCAGCTGCTCTCTGACCAACTGCAGCTGGGAGGTGGGCTCCAAGGTTTACTTACCTCAACAGAGGGGCAGATCTTTGAACACAGCTGATCTCCTATCTCTCCATCCTTTCTAGTGTGGCAGAAATTTTTGTCTAAAACACTGATGAGTTCAGCTTGCTTCCCTGTTTGGCCACCATTTATATTTCAAAATATTGCAGAATCCATATCCTGGCAAACAGGGCACTCTAGGAGGAAAACTCTTTCACTTTTATGTCCTACTTTCCAGAGTTTCTTGCAGATGTCTCTGTCTTGGTGAAACCAAACCCCTCAGGTACACAGTGACAGCATAAAAAAAATGTGTTGAAGGAGTAGGTTTTTTTTGCATTTTTAAAAACTTTTTATTGAGACTATGATAGTTTAAAACCTTGTGAAATTTCAGTTGTACATTATTGTTAGACAGTCATGTTGTAGTTGTACCACTTCACCCTTTGTGCCCACCCCCCACACACCGTTTCCCCCAGTAACGACTAATCTGTTCTCTTTGTCTACGTGTTTAACATCCACATATAAGTGGAGTCATACAGAGATTGTCTTTCTCTATCTGGCTTATTTTACTTAACATAATACCCTCAAGGTCCATCCATGTTGTTGTGAATGGGACGATTTTATCCTTTTTTATGGCTGAGTAGTATTCCATTGTGTATATATATATATATATATATATATATACACACACACACACACACCATATCTTCTTTATCCAATCATCAGTTGCTGGGCACTTAGGTTGCTTCCATGTCTCGGCTATTGTAAATAATGCTGCAATGAACATAGGGGTGCATGCAACTTTTGGAACTGCTAATTTCAAGTTCTTTGGATAGATACTCAGTAGTGGGATGGCTGGGTCATATGGTATTTCTATTTTTAATTTTTTGAGAAATCTCCATACTGTTTTCCATAGTGGCTGCACCGGTTTGCATTCCCACCAGCAGTCTATGAGGGTTTGAAGGAGTAATTTTACCCTCTGGAAAAAATAGTACCTACTGTGACTCACTTGCAGTGGGAGAGTCAAGCCCTATGTAGAAAATGACCTAGAAAAGCAGGTGTGGAGGATTGATCAATTAATAGAGTTCAAGAGTGTCTGTTCTACTCTGCCTCTTTTCTGTCCTTTTCATATCACTTTCCTATCTCTGGGCTTGATCTGAGAATACTTTTTATTTTTTAAACAGTTTTAGGGTGGTATAACTGACATACAATATTGTATACAAAGTGTGTAATTTGATAATTTTCACACAAATATATATACACCTGTGACACCATCTCCATAATCAAGATAGTAAACATAATCATCATCTCCAATCATCATGCCCCTTTGCAATCTCTCCCGCCTACCCATCTCTGACCTCACTCCCCAGGGAACCACTGATCTTTCTCTCACTATAGATGAGTTTCAATTTTCTTCAGCTTTATATAAATGGAATCATACCATATGTACTCTTTCTTTTGGTCTAGCTTCTTTCACTCAGCACAATTATTTTGAGGTCCATCCATGGTGTTGCGTGTATCAGTAGATCATTCCTTTTTATTGCTGCGTAATATTCTGTTATATAGACATACCAAGATTTGTTTATCCATTCGCCTGTTGATGGATATTTGGATTCTTTCCAGTTTTGTGTTATTATAAATAAACCTGCTAGGAATATTTGTGTATAAGACTTAATGTGGCGTATGCTTTTTTTCCTCCTGGGTAAATAGCTAGGGGTGAAATAGCTTTCTCAAGTGGTAGATACATGCTTAACTGCCAGCTGCTTTCCAAAGTGCTTGTACCGTTTTACATTTGCACCAGCAGTGTATGAGAGTTCAAATTTCTTTATATCATCAACAACATTTGCATGGACAGTGTTAATTTTAGTCCTTCTGGTATGCATACAGTGGTTTCAATATCTCATTGTGGTTTTAATTTGTATTTTTCTATTGACTAGTGATGTTGAAAATATTTTCATTTATTTGCCATCCATATATGTTCTGTTCAATTCTGTTCAAATATTTTCTCCATTTTTAATTGATTTTTTATTATTGATTTTTGAGTGTTCTTCATATATATATTCTCGATGCAATTCCTTTAAATGATATATGCTTTGCCAGTATTTTCTCCTAGTCTGTGGACTGTCTTTTCATTCTCTTTTTTTTTCCCTAAAGATTGGCACCTGAGCTAACATCTGTTGCCAATGTCCTTTCTTTTTCCTCTTCTTCTCCCCAAAGCCCCCCAGTACATAGTTGCAGATTCTAGTTGTAGGTCCTTCTGGTTGTACTATGTGGGACGCTGCCTCAGCATGGCCTGATGAGTGGTGCCATGTCTGTGCCTAGGATCCCAACCGGTGAAACCCTGGGCGGCCGAAGTGGATCACGTGAACCTAACCACTCCACCACGGGGTCGGCCCCTGTCTTTTCATTCTCTTAATAGTGTCTTTCCAGGAGCAGGTATTTTTAATTTTGGTGGAGTTCAGTTTACCAATTTCTTCTTTTATAGATGGTGCTTTTGGTGTTGTATTTAAGAAATCTTTGCCCAAGCCAGGGTCACAAGGATTTTCCTCTATTTTTTCTTTCAGATGTTTTATAGTTTTAGGCTTTATAACCTATCACCCATTTCAATTTAATTTTTGTGTATTTTATGAGGTGTTGAAATATTGAAGTTAATTTTTTTATATAGATATCCAACTATTCCAGCACCATTTATTAAAAATACTCTCCTTTCTCCAATAAATTGTTTTGGCATGTTTGTTGAAAATGTTTGCCATGAATAGAGGGCTATTTCTGGACTCTATTTTGTTCCATTGATCTATTTGTTTAACTTAATGTCAATGCCACGTTGTTTTGATCATCGTAACTTTGTGTGTCTTAAAATCAGATAGTGTTATTCATTCAACTTTTTTTTTTGTTTAGTCTAAGTCTTCTGCATTTCCATAGGACTTTGAAAATTAGCTTGCCGATTTCTACCAAAAAAGTCTCCCGGGATTTTGATGTGGATTACATTGAATCCATAGATCATTTTGGGAAGAATTGATTTCTTAGCAATACTGAGTTTTCCAACCCATGAACAAGTTATATTTTTACAATTATTTACATCTTTAACTTCCTTCTGCTATGTTTTGTGGTTTTCATTGTATAAGTCTTTCACATCCTATATCATATTTATCTCTATTTAATACTTTTTGATGCTATTGTAAACGGCATTTTTTTTAAATGTCAATTTCTGATTGTTGCTAGTATCTGCTTATAGAAATACAATACATATTTGTATATGGATCTGGAAATATATATATATCTTTTGTATATATATCTTGAAATCTCGCAAAACTCTGTTATTAGTTCCAGTAGCCTTTTTGCTGATTCCTTTGGATTTCCTACATAGACGACCATGTCATCTCTAATTAAAGACAGTCTTTCTTTCAATTGAGATGCCGTTTCTTTCTTTTTTTTTGCTTGATTGCACTAACACTTCCATTACAATGTTGAATAGAAGTGATGAAAGCAGACATCCTTGTTTTGTTTCTGACTTTAGAGGGAAAGCATTCATTTTCACCATTAAGTGTGATGTTAGATACAGGTTTTTGAAAATATTCTTTACAGATCAAGGAAGTTTCTGTCTGTCTGCAGTTTGTTAAGAACTTTGATCAGGAATGGATGTTGGTTAGAATATAGTTGCATATGTACAGGTACATTTTGTATTACCTAGATGTTTATGTGCCAACATAGGCATTTAACTACATTATCTATCAGAGTTTAAACGGGAAAACTAATGTTTAGTTTCAAACAACCCAGTTCTGAGAAAAGTTTTGCCCTTAACTTACATTTTAATTGTCATTTGAGAGTTTGCTGTATTAATGTTTCATTTTAAAGGAAATATCACAGAAACATCAGCAATAAATAAGCCCTAAGAAGGGCCTGATAGAATAAAGCCTCTTTCTCTACACCTGGTGTTCTCTTGGCAGCATACGCTGGTCGTGCCAATGAAATCTGTGTTTCCTTACAGAAGACAGAGGGTGAATCTATACACTATCAACAATGCAGGTATTAACAGCCTCTGGCGTGTGGTCTGAAGATGGTTCACTTTGCCAGGATGCACTCTCACATCACCCATGAGATTTCTATTCACCTGTAGAGGCTACCTCTGCTCTCGGGGCTGACTTGTTCCCTCCAAACTGGGTGAGAGAAAACACAAGTGGGAAGAAATTGGTCCCTGGGGCTGCTGAGTATCGACTTGCTACGTTTTAATCTCTCTCTCTCTCTCTCTGCTTCCAGGATCCTGCGAGCACTTCACTCACACTGCCACTCACCTTAATATCTGATCTCTAGTGTCCTGCAAATTCTTCTCAGTACCCTATTAGGATCAAGTTATGGAAAAAAAATCTCCTCTCGCCTTGTTTCAGACAGTGTATAATGGCATACATTTAAAAGGAAAATTTATAAGGAAAAAAGAAAACATACAAAAGAAAAAAGCATTTATTCAAAATACAAATATTTTATCCTAAGAACATTAAAATATCTACCTGGAAGTTTGTTTGAATAGTATAGTTTACTGGATTCATTTTCCATTCTCCGTGTACCCTCCTCCACCCCCTTATTTCTTCAGTCATGTCAGGAATAGTCCCCAAACTTCCCACTTCTCTTTCAGTTCTGGGTCACCCTTTCCTTCAGCCTCTCACTTTTATTTGAAGAGCAGACGTGGGAGCCCCGTACGGGTAAATTGCTTCTGGTAATTTATAAAGAATCTAATTCTAGAAAGAATCTAATAAACTTTTTAAGACAGATATTGTCATATCAACAATTCTTTCCCTTCTTGTGAACACTCCTCCAAAGGAAACTTCTGCATAACAGAAGAGAACTTTGGTATCCAAATGTAAGGGGTTATTTATTTATTTTTTTGAGGAAGATTAGCCTCAAGCTCACATCTGCTGCCAATCCTCCTCTTTTTGCTGAGGAAGACTGGCCCTGAGCTAACATCCGTGCCCATCTTCCTCTACTTTATATGTGGGATGCCTACCACAGCATGGCTTTCCAAGTGGTGCCATGTCCACACACGGGATCAAAACTGGCGAACCCCGGGCTACGGAAGCAGAACTGCGAACCCAACCACTGTGCCACCGGATTGGCCCCTTGAGGAGTTATTAATCTTTGCCTTGGGTGAACATGTAATTAGCTGTAAATTTTATTCTTAGGATATTTGGGGTCAGACTTTTGGGTTAAGACAAATGATCAGAAAGCTGCTATTTGGACTACAATTCTTAGATCTGGGAAGAATTGCTTCTATTGAGTTATACTTCTATATAGTGACTTTGAATTTTATTGAGAAATGCTATAAAATTAAACTGTATTGAATTAGATATAAATATATAATAGATATTTTGGGGGAACACTGTTCACTTTGTCTCTTGGTTTAATGTGAATCCCTGTGAAAGAAATTGTTATAGGACTAGGAGCCAGTAATTTAGCTTTCCCTGTGAACCCACTTGTTTTCTTCTGACATTTAATGAAACTCATATAACAGATGTTTCCCCATTCTTCACTTTGTTTTAAAGAGAGTTAATATATTTAGAGGCGTGACTTTAACCAGCATAAGATCTTGTAATCTATAAGTCATCATTCTGTTTTTTTGTTTTCAATTCATGTTTCTCTTATTCTTTCTTTAGTGCACTTTTTGGGGTATCTCAGATTCTTAATGGAACAAGGTGGAATATAGTGTAATAAAGGCACATATATATGAACATAGAGTAAGTAACTCTAAGATAAGCAAAGCTTATGATGGTCTGGATTTTATTAAGGTAAGGTTTTTATTAAGCCTTCCTCTTAGTATGTAGTATTGAGAAGGCTTCCCCAGGAGTTCAGAGGAAACGTTCTTTATTGTCGCCTAGAAGATCTAGATGATCTGATCCTGCCTACCTCTCCAGCCTCATAGTCCATGAAATACAGATTGTTAAGAAACTCTTAAACTTAAGGATATATTCCATGTGCTCTCAATTGACACTGACGTATGCCATCATAATAGAGGCACCAAATAGTGTTGCTATATTCATTTATGAGCCCAGTTTGAAGAACTAGGCCAGCAGCACAGTATGAAAAGCTAGGCATTGCTGGTAAGGATAGAGAGAAAAGTAACAGTATGAAGAAAGGTCTGAAACCTCTTTGGAAGGAAATGAGGCCACACTGCCAAAATTTAAAAGACACCCATTCTATGGCTCAATATTTTCATTTCTCAGGATTTGTCCTTCATAAATATTGTTTCTTTAATTTCTCCCAGCTATTTTGGAATTAGAAAACTAAACAGAATAAGCCTGTAAATATATACGTTTTGATATACTCACCCACACATTGTTTTATTTATACATTTAACAAAATGTAAATATTTTATTCAATTAGTCACATTGTTGTTCTCCAAATAACCTTCTTTTTTAATGAATCAGATATGAAAGGCATTTATTTACTGCTCACTTAAAATCCGGATGGGTGTTCCTGATCGACAAGTGATTGTTCTTCAAGTGATGATTCTGGAACTCAGGCTTTTTCCATTTTTGGCTTTACCATCTTCACAACTTGACTTGCTAGGTCAACATGCTTAATTACGTCAGAAATCATCAAGGACCATGCATGGGAAAGGCCTGGAGTCCCGCACCTCAGTTTTAATTCCATTCTACTCACTAGAACTCAGTCACATGAGCACAGCTAGCTGCAAGGAAGGCTTAGAATAAATGTAGTCTTGATTTGAAGAAGAGGAAATGGATTAGTCTTTGTCACATAATTAATGTCCTAACTTCTTGGTTGACCAACATCTATCCTGTCTGATCTATATGTGGAGACAAGGAGATATATGTAGAGAATGGAGATAGGTAGCTCTGTGAATATCTGGGGATGGACACAGTGGATGAGATCTTTAAACTGCCCTTTGCATAGCAGGCATGGAAGACTCTAGGTCTAATGAAGTTTGAAGGTAATGATGCATCTCATGTCAAAAAATTTGTTAGCTAAGAAGTAATTTATTAAGTTTAGGAGAGGCAACTCTGGAGGGAACAATACTCTGTTAGCCTGGAATATATGTGTGTATGTGCATGAGTGTATGTGTGTGTTTGTGTGTGAGTGTACATGTGAGTGTGTGCACAGTCATGTAGTTCTCCAGTATGAGAATCACTGAAGATGAAACCTACCCAAGTCTGTATGAGGCATGTTAATTGCCTCCATTACTCCTGGGGTTCAGGTCTCCAGAGACAGACTTCAGAGTCTGAAAGGGATAAGTAATGGGGAATGGAGAGATTTGTGACATGTTCTATTGTTTGAGTAGTAAAAAATCCTGAAAGGGATCTTTGTGAAGAAAGAAACCAAAAGGTGTTTCACCAAGGGGCAGACACCTTAGACTCCTGGACTGCATTAAAATAAGTGGGTATATGCACATGGAACAGTAACTTCTTTCCTATGTCTCAATGTCCATTTGATTTTATACATTGATATGAGAAAAAGAGCATACATTTTCATGATTATTTTCCTTTACAAACATAGTTCCTATTTTACAAAACTTATTAGACATAGGATTAAGGAAATGTTTTCTATAAAACATTTTGTCTTTGTGAGTTATCTTCAAAAGAATTGTATTCTTAGCAGACAGGAAAATGGGAAAGTTTTTCTTTAAGATTTTGTCAGTAATTTATATGACTGTCTTGTTTACTGTTCTCTTTCACACAGATGACAGCATAGCAAATCAACACCCATTGTGTGTGGCTTGTAGGAGGGGAAAACTTCATAAGTAGAAGCTAATTTACTTAATGAAATAATACTCAGATGCAAAAGAGTCAAAAGAAAACAGGGGACTGAGGAATCAAAAGGGAGCTGAGAGATACCCTATGGCAAGGAAAACAGCATGACGCTTCAGTATGTTTATGTGGGAATAGAAAGGCCCTTAGAGTGGGACTATTGTGAGTCATTCCAGGTGAAAGAGCAATCATGGAAAGTGAGCTCTCTCTTTTCTGTATCTTCCTTCTGTACTCCTTGAGCAGCATTTAATTGCCTCTGCTGATTTTAAAGACCAGGAGATTAGGTTTCTACCATTGCACATCCCTTAAACCCATCCCTGGTGTCTTTTCGCTTAGACATTACCCTACGTCAGGCTCTTCATACTTTTTCTTGGACTTTCTAATAGTTTCTTGCTAATTTCATTACCCTGTAACTGTCTGGAAAATTGTCTTGCAAATGCAGCTTTCCATAAATCTTTGATCATTTTATTCTTCTGCTAGACCAGCTCCAGTTGTTTTCCACTGACTACAAAATTAAGCGTGAAGTAGTCAGACTGGCGGTGAGTGCTCTGCCACGTGGCCCCAGCTTTTGGACCTTATATCTCATCATTCCTTTACAAGTACTCTAACTTCCATTCTTTTGGACTCTTCTCTCAACGTAATGTCTTGTATCCAAATCTTTTCACATTACTGTTATATGCTATTAATGTTTTGCTTCCATCATTGCCCTTGGAACATTCTGCCTTTTGCCAAGGTCCTTCTCCCTCCCAAATGCCTTTCCTTATTTTTTCCAACTGGTCATAATCTTCAAGTCTCACATGACAACAAAAAATTTTATTTTGATTTGTCATATCCCATTGTTACCGTGTCAGTGGCAGCACCATGTTCTAGGTAGAGGGATGCTAACATCCACTCCATATTCTGTATCAGTTTCCCATGAAGTTCCACAAATAAACATACAATCTAAGTAAAACTAGTTTCCTTGCTATGCAAATTAGGTCCTGAGGTAAATCTCCTTAGATCTCTTCCAATCAGATTTAAGCTCCTAAACTCCCTCTCTATAGAAATTCTAGAGCCATAATGTATTGTTTGAAGTTGCTTTGGAAAAAGATATTTGACATAAGCTCCACAAGAGCAGGGACTCTGCCTTTTTTTATTCATTATTCTTTCCCTATCTCCTAGAACAGTGACAAGGATATGTGCAAAATAAATGTTTATTGAATAAATGAGGGAGGAAAGGAGACAAAGAGGAAAGAACAACTCACCCTTCCAAAGGGAAGTAGTAATATCGCAAAACCAAATTGAGGAAATAAACATATATCTCTTTACCAAGAAGAAGAAAAATAGTGCAACTATTTCTGTGGCTCTTACTGTCTCTGTCACTTCCACAGGTCTGACTCATGAGGACCTTGGAGACTACTAATATCTCTGGGTTTGTGAGTGAGTTCATTCTCCTGGGCTTTCCATGTGACAGAGACATCCAGATCCTCCTCTTTGTGCTCTTCTCCTTCATCTACCTTCTGACTCTCATGGGCAACGCATCCGTCATCTATGCTGTGTGGTCAAGCCAGAAACTCCACACACCCATGTACATCCTCCTGGCCAACTTTTCTTTCTTGGAGATCTGCTATGTCAGTTCTGATGTGCCCAAAATGTTGACCAACATCATCTCCCAAACCAAGAGCATCTCCTACACTGGCTGCCTGCTCCAGTTCTACTTCTTCTTCTCCATGTGTGCTGCTGAGGGCTTATTTCTGTCAGTGATGTCTTTTGATCGATTTCTTGCCATTTGTAGACCTTTGCAGTATCCCACTGTAATGACCTATCGCCTATGTGCTAGGTTAATGGTTTTCTGCTGGGCTGGTGGTTTTCTCTGGTTACTGACTCCTTTAACTCTAATATCTCAAGTGCCCTTCTGTGGTCCCAACACCATTGACCATTTTCTCTGCGACCTGGCACCTTTGCTGGCATTGTCCTGTGCTCCAGTACCTGGAATTACTCTGATCTGTGGAATCATTAGCTCTTTAATCATCTTTCTCACCTTCCTGTACATCCTTGGCACTTACTTCTGTGTTCTGAGTGTGGGGCTACAGATGCCCTCAGGCTCAGGAAGGCATAAGGCTTTCTCTACTTGTGCCTCCCACCTTGCTGTGGTGTCTCTGTTCTATGGCTCAGTGATGGTGATGTACGTTAGCCCAGGTTCTGGGGACTATCCTGGGATACAGAAATTTGTGACCCTGTTCTATGCTTTAGCAACCCCATTCTTTAATCCCTTGATCTACAACTTTCGGAACAAAGATATGAAGGAGGAACTAAGGAAAATTCTGAATGTGTTGTTATGGAAAATCTCTAAAGGATTCAAAAGTCAAATTTAATATAATGCATCATTAATGTTCAGGAGGATGGAAGATCATGATACAAATGAGATCAGGCTTTTTTTCTCTTCATTTTCTTTTATTTTTATATATTGGGCAGATGATTTTTAAAAACTCATTATATTTATAATTTAAGTCTTAGGAAGTTATTACTGTTATGTTCCAGATATTTCTGTACCTTAGATAGACTTGTTTATTTTGAAATCCAACAATAAGATTTTCATATATTTCTCTATAATTGAGTTTCTATTTTCTGTTTCGATTTTCATTACATACTACTTGATGTATTTCAACACCCTCAAAATCTGCCTTCATCAAATCCAGTTCTTTTTCAGAGCATAGCAAATGTTGAATGTATTGCAAACACACAAATATTTAACCAACAATCTTTTAGATAACCAGATTAAAAAAAAACTCTCAACCTCAGGGACAAATTTAAAGCACTACTTTTATATATTCCATAATTCCAAGTATGGTTTTGGGCAACAACATGGGTCCTCAGTAAAGTTATGTTGATTTGACTGATTCCTCACATTTTACCAAGGCTGTCACTTTAGGAGGTAGGTCCAAAGCTTCTATATGCAGCCACATGAAGTTTAGCTCATACTCAGTGTAAGACAAAGACCTATAGACTTGGTGAATCACTAGTATTTAGGTCTAAGCTGTACTTATTTTCATGTATTTCTCTGTAAAATTCTGGCTAAATGTCCCTCAGAGATAATTTCTACTCTGTAATTTCTTGTTTTCTAGACTAGTAATATAATTTACAGTATTGCACTTCATGAGGAAACCTTGGGCTAAAACTTTGTTCTGGGATAACTCCAGCGCTAACTTTACTTCCAAACCCTAGTCAAACATCTGCAACCTCCTGCTGGATATTTTTACATGAAGATCTACTTTAAATTCAAATGTCTATGTCTAAATTGGCTCATCTCCTTTTAAATTAGCTCTAACCATCCTTATTTGCCAATGGATCCACTGATCTATAATCTGTACTTAAAATCATAACTTTTATAATTTCTCACCTTCTCATACCCAATCCTACTGTCATTAAATTCTGTGTCATCTTCCCTATGATGCTTTGTCATCTTTACTCATCATTTTTTGTCCAGGTTCTAGCATTCCATGAAGGCATAATAACTTCATAAATGTTCTGTTTCTGACATCTCCCATGTCAAATTCTAGAATTATCATCTTAAACCTCTTTTCCCTCAGTCCCCACACTTATTTCCTCTCTACTTACACACTGGATAAATTCAAAATTCTTTTTCTTTTTTTGTGGATAAATGTCATTTAAATTTTTTTCAAACCCACAGAATATACAACACCAAGAGTGAACCCTAAAGTAAACTATGAACTCTGAATGATGATTATGTGTCAATGTAGGTTCATCAATTGTAACAAATATGCCACTCTGGTGAGGGATGTTGATAATGGGTGAGGCTATGCATGTATGGGGTCAGTGGGCATATGAGAAATTGCTGTGAACCTAAAACAACTCTTTTAAAAAATAAAGTCTAAAATATATATATTATATATATTTATATAAATATTTATATAAATATTTTGTATATTTATATAAAAATTGTTTATATGTAACAATAAAAAAATAAATAATTTATATATATTTTATATATAATATTTATATATATCTTTATATATATATAATATACCATGATCTATCTATCATGTATATCTACTTAGGGGCTTAATATTTTCCTCACATCATATTCTTAACCACTATTCTGTGCTGGATCTGTGACATTTAGCTTGTAGATCCTCTTTCTTATATTTGTTAGCTCACACTTGCAAGATGGTTGCTAAACATCCAGGTATTTTCCATGTTCCAGTCTGGAGGAGCATGAAGCAGCAGTTCTTGTTTCAGGAAAGCAACTGGCTTCCCAGAAATCCTCAATTTGTGTCTCATTGGCCAGAGCTATGTCATGTGACCAACCTAGCTAGATGCAAGTGAGGCTGAAGAAGCAAGTGTTTTTAGCTGAACTCATTGCTACTCTGAATAAAATCAGGATTCTTTTACTAAGGAAAAGAGGAATGCACTCTGGGTGGGTAATAGCAGTCCCTGCCACAGAGGGCTCTGCAGAGTTTCTCCAATCACCTTAGATGTAATGAAACTTAAACAACTGAGAACACTGACCTTTGACAAGTGTGAAAAAGCTGAAGAAGACAAGCATACCAACTTTCAAGAAGCTATCACATTTATAAATCTGATTAATGGCAAATAGACTGAGAGGTTTATTGACTAACGACTTAAAATCAATTTTTGTTGATTATAATAATGTTTTATAAACAATTGGTACAACTAAATTTGAATAATAATGAACTGTTCTAATGATGATTGGAATAATACTGAACAAATAGCATTTGCCAATAAAATGACACCTATGAGTTCAATGATGAGGAAAACAATTTGGAAGAGAAAACACTAAAGAGAAAAAGCTGTTTGAGTCCTAGTTTCTGTGAATATTGTCTTCCAAAGGACATCTCTAACTAATTTAGCCATTTTCCCCCAAAGGCTATGTAAATAATCTCTTCCAGTCTGGTGACGAGAAAAGAGTTAGTTGAATTACAGAGACCACACATATTGTCAGCCTACCAAGAGGAAATGACATCACCCAGCCACGTATTCATCTTGGGGCTTTATAAGATGTGTCTTTAGAAACAAAATGGAATGGAATAGAAGAGGATAGTATGGCATAATTTGTAATAAGGGTATTATTATTCTAAGAAACTCCTGTTTCAGTTATTTTTGTATGTGTGCATACTTAGAAATTAACTAATAAACATCCAAGTGGAGATTCAAGTAGGCAATTGTATGTGCAAGTCTGGAGGTATGTAACGAGGTTGGGAGTGGAGATAAAAACCTGAGAATTATCAACATATCAATGGCATTTAAGGCTGTTAGATTCTTTGAGATCACTCTAAATCTGTGCTGTCTAATAGAGATATAACACAAGCCTCAGGTGTGAACCACATATATAATTTTAAATATTCTATTAGCTACTTTAATAAAGATAAAAAGAAATAGATGAAATCAACTTTAATAATATATTTTATTTGGCCCAATTTATTCAAAATAGTATCATTTCAACATATAATCAACATAAACATTATTAATAAGATATTTACATTATTTTATTACACTAAGTCTTCAAAATTATTACGTAATTTTATACTTATAGCACTTCTCAATTAGGACTAGTCACATTTCAAATGATCAGTAGCCACATGTAGGTCATGGCTATTGTAGTTTAGTGCAGGTATAGATAGAGAAGTCTGAGGACTAAATACAGAGCTCAGAAAGTGTTGAGGCTAAACAAATAATTGAATTGTCTTTATTTTTCAGATTAAAGTTTCTTTGCCTAGAAGTATTCTCCTATTTCATAGGTTTTCCTGATTCAAAACCTTAATTTTGTGGTGAAAAAACCCACTGAGTTCACCGTGTCATGGGAGTAGTTCTCTCACACATCCATGCACCACCTCCTGGTAAGGAGTCTTTCCTGAAGAATTGTATCTTCAGCTTCATAGTCCTAACTTCTTCCAGACTGACAGAAGTTGTGGCAGAATCTGGATGAAATTCCCCTCTCAGACTTGCTTTTTTTTTTTCTTTTTCAGATTTTATTTTTTCCTTTTTCTCCCCAAAGCCCCCTGGTACACAGTCGTATATTCTTCGTTGTGGGTCCTTCTAGTTGTGGTATGTGAGACGCTGCCTCAGCGTGGTTTGATGAGCAGTGCCATGTCCGCACCCAGGATTCAAACCAACGAAACGCTGGGCCGCCTGCAGTGGAGCGCACGAACTTAACCACTCGGCCACGGGGCCAGCCCCCTCTCAGACTTGCTTTTTAAGTGAGAATAGTGGATGGGTGTGGTAGACAGTTATAGAGCAATACTTTCGTGTAATCCAATTTGTATACTCATTCAAAACCCAGAATTTATATTTTTACATATAAATTCACCCAAAAAGGCCTAGAAGTATACCTATCAAACTGGACACATTGCTGGGAGACAAGCAGGTGTACAGAAGTATGGAGATATGAGGATTATTGTTATTTTGTAGTATTTTGTCTTTGACAATGAAAACTTATCCATTTTAAAATATATTACTTGTGTAATTAAAAAAAATAGAAAATGGAATATAATTCATCCCAGTGTACATAAGCAAGCCTTGGTTATTGAAAATTCTATGTATACAATATTTAGGCCAAATCTAAATTTTGAAAAGCTTAGTTTTATATATAAATATCTTTTCCAGACTCTACGAACACCTAGATATAAGTGAGGATCTAGGTTATGTGGTGAATTGTGGTCCATTGACTCCCAGGCTAAAAATTTTTGGCTCAAAGAGAAAGAGTAGGTGATGAATCATCTTTATCTACTCCTTTTCAGTTCTAAGAAAAGAGAGTGGGAAGCATTAAATTTCACTGCAGCTAATACAGACTTTTCCAGATGATGGATGATTTCCTTCCCTTTAGGTAAACTTCTGTCTCTCAGAACTACAGATAGTACAGCAACAACTAATAAGCATCATGACATATTCTTACAGCACTTATCATGAGATAGACAAGCCCTCAACTACCCTAGGGAAATTTATTCCCATTTCTCATCCTGCTTCTACTTCACTGCTATTGATGAGTGGGTCATTTAACTAAAGTCTATCCTATGTAATGTCTAGATTGAACGTAGCCCAAGGATATTATTGGGGAATCAATATGATTGGGACATTATAGTTGATATTTTTTGTCTGTTTCTTTTGGCTGCCTAGTATCTCAATCCTTTTTCACGGCTTGAAGAATCACATTACTATCAAGCTTGGAGCTTATCTTTGCATAATTGGAGTTCTGATTGCCAGGTACCAGCTCTCCTAGCCTCTCTTGCAGCTACAGCATAGGGATGTATTATTGGTTCCACCAAGCCCACACAGCTACATCAGACTTTGATGCAGGAGCTAGTGATGTAAGAAGCAGAAGTGGGGTGAGGGTGGGAAAGCAGTGGTGAAATATTGACATAAAAATAGCAATGAAGCACGTAGCACAATTATTGCAGGAAAGAAAAATTCCTAGCCCAGAATTGACAGTGGTTGAAACTGTGGCATCTGGTGGCCACTGGCAGTGGTGTGGCTGTAGTGATAGTGATTTCTCATCAGAGCAGTTCCACTGGGGTTTGCACATTGATCTTTAAATCTGAGACTCAACTCTGTTTCTTCAGTTTTAATTGATTCTTTGAGATTCCTGATATCCCATCAATAAATATTTTCCATTGTCATGCCTAATCTGCCGGAGTTAACTTCTGTTATATGCAAGTAAGAACCCTGTTATAATTACATCAGAGTAGATTTATCTCAGGTAGGTGCAATCCCAGTAATCTGCAGAGGGCAAGGAGAAACTAACCTTTCAGGATTATAGGTTGCCTTGAATTCCCCCCTAGTTTTAAAGTGATCCAGGAAGCTTCATCACTAAGCATATTCTATTACAGGAAATATCCCCAAATCCAGAATAACTTGGAAGAGGACTTTAAGATGTCTATTTTTATATGGACAACTGGAATTGAGGTCTGATCTGGACTGGATATTGTCAGTCCAATCATTAGCTTTTTCTTCAACATATAGATGACAACTTCACAAATGACTTCCTCCTCCAGAAAAGGAAATTTTGTGCCATAGTTTAAGGTATGAAGATTTCAGAGTACAGACAGATCATCAGGTCAAGTCAAAATGTTTATGTTAAGTGCTAACTGCCTCTAAGCAGTTTATATTTTGGTTGGCAGAGTCTGTTCCCTGGGTTCTCATATTTATTTTCTGTAACAGTAAATGCTCCTCTACTAAAAGCTCAGAAGGTGCAAAAATCCAGGTTTGGGTAAGGAATACTTAGTGATTTGGCTTCTTTGAATGTGTGCATGTCCTTCAGTGTATCCTCTTCAAAGTTGGACTGAGAATTTCCCTTAAGAAGAAACTATACCATATCCTCTTTTCATTTGCTGCACACCATGGACACTTTACTGATGCTTGGTAGTAAGGAAAATACAAATGAAAAAACGCTACTGTTTTAGTGACAGGCATTAGGTCTTTGATCTTATAAATAAAGCAATGAAATTTTTGTGGTACAGTGAGTAGATGCTGTATCCCTTTGGAAAAACCTGTAATTGGAAAGGAAAAAATAGTTGATAAATTTGAAACACATAAAATAGTATTAGAATAAACGCCGGGATACGAGTTGGAAACACGAATCTTAGATTTGTACATACCAACTTGATTATATTAGTTTTAAGACATCAAAAAATCTCCAGAACAGAAAAATTATCCATTGGGGAATGGAAACTGTACAGAAAATTCCTACAATGGACTGTTAGGGTTATGATTATTTCCTTTTGAGATAGGATTTGGGTTCTTTGCATGTAATGAGTCACACTTTTATGAGAGTAAGAAATCAAACACTTAGACATGCCCAGAAAATAGTTTTCTTTTTAATGAGAGAAAGTCTATATTCCTGAAAGAAAAATTTATATCATTTCTCTATATTTTTAGGAATTTCTTTTGATGGTGCTCCCAGGACTTTCTTTAGTGCATCTTTCATATCTTTGTTCCGCAGACTGTAGATCAGAGGATTAAAGAATGGGGTTGCCATGCAGTAAAACAAGGTCACAAATTTCTGTGTCCCAGGATGGCTCCTGGAGCCTGGACTCACATACATGACCATGACTGAGCCATAGAACAGAGAAACCACCAAGAAATGGGAGGCACATGTAGAAAAAGCTTTGTTCCTGCCTGAGCCAGCTGGGACCCGAAGTACAGCTCGCAAAACTAAAGTATAGGATCCCAGGATGTAGAGGAAGGTGATAAAGATGATAAGAGAGCTTACAGTAGCACAAGTTAGAGTAGTTTTTGGAACTGGGGCACAGGACAGTGCCAGCAGTGGCCCCAGGTCACAGAAAAAATGGTCAATGATGTTAGGGCCACAGAAGGGCACCTGGGACATAAGAACTGCAGGCATCAGTATGGATAGAAAGCCACCTGCCCAGCAGAAAACCACTAAGTGGGCACAGAGATGGTGAGTCATGATGGTGGGGTAATGCAAAGGTCGACAGATGGCAAGGAACCGATCAAAGGACATTGCAGACAGAAAGTAGCCCTCAGCAGCACACATGGAGAAGAAGAAGTAGAACTGGAGCAGGCAGCCAGTGTAGGAGATGCTCTTGGTCTGGGAGATGATGTTGGCCAACATTTTGGGCACATCAGAACTGACATAGCAGATCTCAAGGAAGGAGAAGTTGGCCAGGAGGATGTACATGGGTGTGTGGAGTTTCTGGCTTGACCACACGGCACAGATAATGGATGTGTTCCCCAGGAGGGTCAGAAGGTAGATGAGGGAGAAGATGACAGAGAGGAGGATCTGGATCTCCCTGCGGCAGGGGAAGCCCAGGAGGATGAACTCACTCACAGACCCAGAGATATTACTGGCTTCTGAGATACGCATTCTTCTAATCTATGAAAGGAATGAGCAATACAGACCACTGTATTAGCCATTTTCTCTCTGGTGAGGCAGATATCTTCCAGGTCAGTAGTTTCCATCAAATACCAAAGGGAAGCCAAATAGGAAAAGATTTTTCTGTCCCTTCAGAGACTAAACATGGCATACAGACTGGTGAGTTGAAATGAGAAACTATAAACTATAAATCCAAGGTTATGGGCTCAATGGAGGAGGCTTTGGACTGGAAATTCAGTGCTTGGAAGGGATGCTTTAAACTAGAACTAGACAACCTAAATTTTCTATATTTGAGATTTAACTGAAGTGTGTGTAGTAAGTGCCCCATGCTCTTCAGTGTGACCACAATTTTACTTACGCAGTTGAACTGACTATGCTGGGTAAGACTGCATGTAAATAGGGCAAAGAAACATGGAAAGGAAAGAACAAGAGTGGAGGGAAGATATATTTCAGGGTTGTTGTCTTTGGGTGAGAAATATCTCTTTCACTCTTGGCTAGAATCAGTGTAAAGTCACCTCAAAATTAAGGTGAGAATAGAGAGCCCTTGAGAAGAAGCCTTTGCTGTGTTGAGGGTGGCTCTGGGATTAGCAGTTGCTCATCAAAATTTGAAGAAAGAGAAAAGCAAATGTCCAGAAAGAGAAAGAAGCAGCAGATTTTCCTTCAAATTCTTATCTGAAAATCAACTTGGAATAGTTCTGAATGTCCTTCCTTCCTTTCCCAATTCAGGAGCAGACTTCTTGGGCTTCCTGAGAACGCCTCTGTTCCTGCCTCAGTGCTCTAAATTTAACACGCCGAGCACCGATGCTCCTTCTCTCCCTGCCTTGGGTCCTTGTGGATTCTACTTGGGATTACATGTTGATTTTTCCTTTTGTGGCAAATATGGGAATTCTTACATCTTAATTATACTTAATGAGAGTAGATACCTGTCACTTACAAATGTTTTATTTCCTCTGAAGAGATATAAAGCCCACAGGTTTCTGTTATCTTTTTATCTGAAAGATAATGCAAAAGAGAAGTGTCAGCTCAGATTTTCCTGCTGGGATTATTAAACAAATATATCCTGGATAGACATTTGAGAGTCCCTGCACGAAAGAACGAAGGCTTTGTAAAAAAATTATGTATTATTTTATATGCTACTTTATCTATAACATAGAATATATTTATAGATAAAAATACAAAAGAAAATTCACAGCCCTCTTTTTGTAGCAGCATTACACACAGTGACATTGCAGCAGGCAGTCGAGGGGCTCCCACCTGTGCCCTTTTAGGGATCCTGGGTGTACAGGGTTTTGGATGCCTGGTGACCCTCTGCCACAGTCTGAGTCTCACAAAGGATCCTCTATAGCCTTATACAAAAAGAAGTAGAGTGCCAGGCAACTCTCCCATTCTTTTATTTTGCATCCCCTTCTGGCCACATATTGCCCCTGGAGGCCACCCCTCAGGAGAAGCAGGGACAATCAGAGTGCATCACTCAATCCCCAGGTGTCTTTTACTTTCAGTGGTGAGCTCAAAGATGAAGGGCCTCCCTGAATCCATTGGTAAAACTGTCACCTGGTAATGGCCCTTTGGTTTTCTGCTCACCTGGCACCTCCAGATTGGTTCTGGATTTTAAAAACCATCCTCATATTGGATGTCATCAGTTGCTTCAACGCTCTGGGGCAACCTTTCCTTCATATATACTTCTTCAAGTGACATTTAAAGTTCACTTTAAGAAATCCCCAAATCCTGAGTATCTTTCCAATAACCCACTAAAAGTAACCTCCCTGCCCATCTTTATCACTTGGTATAGAGATATTAAAAGTTGGTCTCTACTCCCCCTGCAAACTCCTGGCTGCAGAGACTGATGCCTGCTGGACTGTCCAGTGGCTTTCAGACTTCATGAGTGTAAGAAAACCTGGGGTCTCATTTAACCTCAGAGTCTCCTCTCATACCCTCAACCCCAGGGATTCTACATCTTTTAATATTTTTGAATTCTCTTTCTCCTACCTCAAAGGATATAATCACTCTACCCAGCTTTGTATCATGCTTAGATGATAGTTTTTAGTACCTGCTATTTGCCAATTATCATGCCAGCAAATTTCACATGCATTATCTAATAAATAATACTCTGAAGGCAATCTTACCATTTAAAACGATTAAACAGAAGACTACAGAGAGTAAGAGTTTAGATTTGGCTGTAATTCAAGTTGGTTCATTTTCTTTCCACAAATAGTATGCCTGAAGTGAAAAAATATATCTAATCTGCTTATGGCATCTGCCTGTTCTTCTTATGCCTTTTGGTCACTCTGAGAAACTGCTATTAACATTATTATTTTGACTTCTTTTCTTAAACATTTTTACTTCAAACACTATACTTTATAAGATTATTCATAAGTTGTTCTCTATGGCTTGACTTCCTGTTTATCTTGGTGTAACAAATTTCACTGAAAAATGAGTGCCCACTGTGAACAAAGATTTATTCCAAACAATCATTGCCCACAAGGAGCCTTCAGGGGAATGAACTACCTTGGAAAAAGTTCCAACCAAAATATTGTGCAAGGACAAAACTTTAGGTCCTTTTTATTCTTTGCTGCTTAAGTGGATGCATGGTAGTCTTATACTGACAGTGAGGTACATTTGAACTCTTGGGTGTGGTTCATGGGAAGATGGGATCCAGACCCGTTTCTGATGTTACCTTCTTCTTTTAGACTGTCTATAACTTGTGTTATGCTCCTTCTCTCTTCTCCAAGCTTAATTCCTTTGAACACAGAGGTATGACATAACTTTCCAAATTAGTTCTTTTAATTTTTAATTTCAGAAGTACCTCAGAAACCAGTCCTGACATGTCACTTGCCCCAAGAAAGACAGTCATTCTGAAAAAAAATGAATTGTTCTAGATGCTTCAGTTTCAGAGAAATTCCTTAAATGTAAATTTGAATCCATAATTTTTTTCTTACTCTTCATTATTATTCCATTTTTTTTCTTTTCTTTCCATTCTCTGACTCCCTTTGTCTGTGTTTTCTTCCTAGAATTGGTGCCATGGCAACTGAGGCTCTGTGATATCACCAATGAGCTCACTGCCTCTCTTGCCCTACTCAGGCTGTCAGTGGATGGTTCTCGGGGTGAACAAACCATGCCAGTTTGGATATTTGAGGACAATGCTAAGCTTAAGTCAAACAATTCATTTTACTGCTGAAGAGAAGATGTCTTTCAGGCCTGGAAGTCATTGCTTAAGTTAGGAATACCCAGGGAAAACCAGGTCCCGATTAGGTTTCTGGATTTAAACTCTGGGAAAAAATCAACACTGGACCCGAAAGCCACTGGCAGAAAGTGGTGACCTGGGGGTAAATCTGACCTTCCCAGGCCTTCTGTTTGTCAGGCAGGATGTTGTGGACTATATAGCAGCTAAACCACAAGGGCTGTGCTGGGCCAGGCTCTGCTTTGGGCAGTATGGCCCGAGGCACCCAGGTCCCTATCTTTGCACAGACTTCCTCAGGCTGTATGTAAAGGCTCTAAGGGTTGCTATGTCTCCTGTGGAGTTTGGGTGGAAGAGAGAGAAGTGGACAGATATACATACTTGGTCATTTCATAACTGACTTTAGATCAATGATATCTAAACTTTTGGAGTAGGTATAGGTAGTGCTTAATTTCACCATGTTGTCTTCTCTGTTCTTTCCAAACAAGCCATGGACATTAAATAACGAATTTCCAAATGAAAGTGAATTTAATTTAATTTTGAGAATCTCACATGAATCTTTGATATGATCGTTGATCTCAGATCTGAGTGGAAAATCTCTAACTCAGAAGAAGTTGGGCAGAAATAGAATTGTAATAGGTTGGAGGCAGGCACCTGGCAGTGGTTCAAGGAGACCCTGGTTTATAATGAAAATTCCTCAATTATACCCACAACTTTCCTCACTCCCTCCACTGTTCCCCCTACATTCATGTTGTCTTTTGAGCACTATTTTGTGATTTCGTCCCATCTTGGGTTCTCCAAAAGTGTTGATTTATTTACAAGTGTATTTTAAATTATGCTAATTAGACTATATATCATTATAGAAAAACAAAAAAAATCATAAAAAATGGTATAACATAACATTTGGTGTTTATCCTTTTATTATTATTTACACTAAAAAAATTGGATCATACCATACATGTTGTGTCGGAACATACTTTTTAAAATACACAAACTTGAATGAATTTTTGCCATGTTAGTAAATATAAGTCTACCTAATCAGTAATTGGAACATAATATTCTATTTTATGGCTACAGCGTAATTTGTTTAAGTAATTCTTTCCTGTTGGACATTTATAATGTTTGCAACTCTTTCTATTACAAACAATTCTGTGATGATGTTCCCTTACAATGAATAAGTCTAAGTGCAATAGCTGAGCAAAATGTACATATAGTTTTAAGGCTTTTGCTTGCCACATTGCTAGATTGCTCTCCAAAAGTGTTGTCTTAACTTGCATTCCAACCAGTAGGTTGTAAGAATGCTCATTTTCCTCCCATTTGAAATACATACACACACAGGCTATTATAATTCTTTCTAAAAATTGCCATTATGAATATTTAAAAGTAACATCTTATTATTTTAATGTGTATTTATTTCATTAGTAATTAGATTGAATTTAAAAGAATATTTTATTAATTGTGTTGACTTTTTTTCTTTTCTTCTCATTTCTGAATGTAACCTACTTTTCTATTCATATGTACATTTTTCTTGGTTTAAAATAATTCTTTGTATTTTCTGAGTATTAGCCCCTATCATTTTTGGCATTTGCTTGTTCCATATATGTATGGTGATTTTTTTTAAGCCAAAGGTTTTTAATGTAGTTACCTTTATCACTTTATCTTAATGGTTTATGCTTAGGAATATATCCACACTTTGAGATTATATATTTATAACACATAAGATGTGGAATTGAAAAATGCCTCTGTTTGTGAGTAGAAAATGTATATAATTACTAAAAGGGAAGGACTACCTGCCTTCAGAATAAGTGGCAGTTTCAGAAAGGATAAAGCATTACTTCTCCATAGAGGAAGGGGGTTGATGTAGTCAACTTGCCACCAAGTGGCTGGCTGCTCTTCTCAATCAATAGTATCCTATTGATGGCTCGGCATCAGCCCTCATTTTCTTCAAGTATATACAGAGAAGTGGAATAGCTGGATCATATGGTAGTTCTATTTTTAATTTTTTGAAGAGCCTCCAGACTGTTTTCCATAGTGTCTGTACTGGTTTGCATTCTCACCAACATGAACTAGAAATCCCTTCGTATCCTTGCCAACACTTGTTATCTCTTGTCTTTTTGATGATGGCTGTCCTAACAGTTGTCAAGTGATACCTCTTGTGGATTTGATGTTCATTTCCCTGGTGATTAGTGATGTTGAGCACCTTTTCATGTATCTGTTGGTCGTTTGTATATCTTCTTTGGAGATATCTCTACAGAGACTTTTAGCCCATTTCTAAATTGAGTTATATAATTTTTTTTTTGCTGAGTTTCTCATGTATTTTGGATATTAATCTCTTCTGAGATATGTTGTTTTCAAATATTTTCTTCATTCCATAAGTTGCCTTTTCATTTGTTGTTTCCTTGCTGTGCATAAAGTTTTGGTTTGGTATAGTCCCACATATTTATTTTCACTTTTGTTGCCTGGGTTTTTTGTATCAGATCCAAAAAATCATTGGCAAGACTAATATCAAGGAAGTTTTCTCTGTTATCTTCTATGAGTTTTATGGTTTCAGGCCTTATAGTCTATCATCTATTTCAAGGTGATTTTTGTGTATGGTGTAAGACAGGGGTCCAATTCACTCTTTTGAATGTGGATATCCAGTTTTCCCAACACCATTTATTGAAAAGACTACCTTTTCCCCATTGTGTATTCTTGGCATTCTTGTCAGAGATTAATTGAATTTATATGGGTGGCTTTATTTCTGGGATCTCTTTTCTGTTCCATTGGTCTATGTGTCTGCTTTTATGTCAGAACTATACTGTTTTGATCACTATACCTTTGTAATATAGTTTGAAATGAGAAAATGGGATGCCTCCAGCCTTGTTCTTCTTATTCAAGATTGATTTGGTTATTTGGGGTCTTTTGTGGTTCCATACAATTTAGGACAGTGTTTTCTATATCTGTGAAAAATGCCATTGGAATTTTGATAGAGATTGCTTTGAATCTGTAAATCACTTTGGGTATTATGGACATTTTAACAATATTTATTCTTCCAATCCATGGATATGGGCAATCTTTTCATTTATTTGTGCCCTTTGCAATTTCTTTCATCAATGTCTTATAGTTTTCAGGGTACAGATCTTTTACCTCCTTGGTTAAATTTATTCATATGTATTTTATTCTTTTTGATGCCAATATAAATGGGATTGTTTTCTTTATTTTTCAGATATTTCATTATTAGTGTATAGAAACACAACTGATTTTTGTATGTTGATTTTGTATCTTGCAGTTTTACTGAATTAGTTTATTGGTTCTACAGTTCTACAGTTTAGTGGGATCACAGTTGTGTAGGATTTGAGCTTGATCATGTGGCTGCTGCTGGGTTTGCAGTGGGGTCAAATATTGTTGGGGCTGTTAGCAAGGCCTTGGGGGTGGTGGATCCTGTCAGGTCCCTGGGTGGTAGGACTTCCTTCAGGACCTTGGTCTGTAGGGCCTCACTGCGACAAATGCTCACTTCAGGGTCTGCAGTAGGGTCTGCACATGGCATAACTGTTACCAGGTGCAGAGACAGGTGTGGCTCCCACTGGGTCCCTGTGAAGGCTCCTGCCAAGTCACTTAGTGGGTCCTTAGGCAGGCAGGATTGACACTGAACCACAGCTGAGAGGGTCTGGAATTGAGTCACAGGGCTGGTTCAGGGTTCACAACATGGTCTGAGGTCTACAGACTTGCTTTCTAGGACACAGATAGCTGTGTATCCTATCACATTCCTGGGCATGCAAGACTGTCCCTGGACTGTGACTGATTGGGCTGGAGCTGGGTCACAGTGCCACTTCAGTATCTGCAGTTGGACAAATGTTGGCAGGCCTGCCTTGAGGAGCACAAAGGAGCGTGTCACTGACCTGGGTCCCTGGGCAGGTAGGACTGCTTCTGGACTGTGAATGAGAAGGGCTGTAGCCAAGTAATAGGTCTAATTTAGGCTTTGTAGTTGGATTGAGGTCAGCTGGCCTTCCTTTGGGAGCACTGGTAGGCATGTCTCCTGCCAGGTCCCTGAGTGGGAAAACTGTTTCCAGGCTGTGGCTGGGCAGAGCAGGAGCCAAGTTACAGGCTGCTTCAAGATCCATAGCCAGGACTGTAGCTAAATTCATTTTCTATGCCAGCTGTTATATTTTTGAAGAGCAGATTAACATAGTCTAAGTGCATAATATGTAGGCATTGATTTGGCAATTGTGCTCTTTTCCATCTTATCAGAAAAATGAATCAGAAAGAACTCCTACTCACTAGGAACAGGCAACAGGGCTATGTTAATTCTCCCACCCTCTATGATAGCATAATCCAGTAAAACCCCTGCAGAGCATTATACTAGCCCAATATACCAGTGACATTGTGCTAATTGAATTGGATAAGTGAGAAGTGATTGGTTTATAGGAAGCTCCAGAGGGTGAAAGAAAACTCTGTGAGGATGCAGAATTCCTCATTCATATTAGTAAAGTGGATGTTTTCTAACACACTTTCATAAACAGCATCAATGTGCCCCCTAAGTGACATCAGCACAGCATCAGATGGCTGGTGCTCGCTCCTGAGAAGTTTGAGTTTCAGCTTCACAGGGCCTGATCTCTAAGCTTTTAAACTTTTAATAATTCCAATGTTTTCTCTTTGTTTCCCCAGAACTAAGAGTGGTATCTGGCTCTTGCAATTTCTACCTCAGTGTCGCCTGTTTCCTTTTTTTTTTTTTGCTTTGTTTGACATTTTAAGTGTTTATTACTTTAGTTATGTCCTCGTTACATTAAATTCTCTGTGATAAAATAACCTAAGAGCTTTGTATCTGTTGACTTGACCTTTCTGATACAGAGATTGGTACCAATAGTCCTCCCACAAAGCAGATCGTCAAATATGGTAGTTTGGTTGTGTTTTGTGGCTTGAACACAATGCTTACCAACTTGTTCATTGAAAGTGACATTCCAGTAATCCATAGTCTTTAATGACATAATAATTAATGAAGATCTTTTCAATAAATTGTCTTGGGGCAACTGGGCATTTACAAGCAAAAGAATGAAGTTAGACCCCTACCTCACAACACATACAAAAATTAACCCAAAATGGATCAAATCTAATACTATAAAACTCTTAGAAAAAAATCCATAAATGTAAATCTTTGTGACCTTGGATTAGGCAATGGTTTCTTATAATACCGAAAGCATGAGACAAAAGAAAAAATAGATAAGTTAGACTTACTCAAAATGAAAAATTTTTTTTCTTTTTCTCTCTTTTTTTTTTTTTTGAGGAAGAGTAGCCTTGAACTAACATATGCTGCCAATCCTCCTCTTTTTGCTGAGGAAGACTGGCCATGAGCTAACATCCCATGCCCATCTTCCTCTACTTTATATGTAGGACGCCTACCACAGCATGGCTTCTCAAGCAGTGCCACGTCTGCACGTGGGATCTGAACTGGTGAACCCCAGGCCGCCAAAGCGGAATGTGAGAACTTAACCACTGCGCCACTGGGCTGGCCCCCTTAAAATGAAAAATTTTTATTTATTTATTTATTTTTGAGGAAGATTAGCCCTGAGCTAACTACTGCCAGTCCTCCTCTTTTTTGCTGAAGAAGTCTGGCTCTGAGCTAATGTCCATGCCCATCTTCCTCTACTTTATAGGTGGGATGCCTACCACAGCATGACGTGCCAAGCGGTGCCATGTCTGCACCCGGGATCCGAACTGGCAAATCCCGGGCTGCCAAAGTGGAACGTGTGACCTTAATTGCTGCGCCACCAGGCCGGCCCC